ACAAAAATACGAGGCTACATACCATGCACCTAGGTTCAAAGTAGACAGAGTGTCAACATCGGTGATCCAGTGCTCACTAACACACACCACATCAAAGTTCTTATCAATTAGAAAAGTTTCAAGGACATCCAATTTGTTTTTGAGGCTTTGAATATTAATATGAAAAACAGTTACCGCATTTGGGCCGCCCCAGTTACCCGTTGGCTCACCACTCATTCCTTTGTGTTCACGATCGGTCGTTTGTGAAAAAACCGGTTGATGCAAGCCCCAGAAGGCCATAATGATGGATCCATGATTTTGTCCTTATGGATATCATACACCGTAACCTTAAAGGACGAGTAGTAGTTAGGGTGCTTTGATTGAAGTTGTTCACAGACCACTTCGGGAAAAGTCTCCTTCAGGTAATCGTGTAGCATTTCAGAACTGGTCTCAGGGTCCAGTTTATATACATGAACGTAAACCCTATTAACCGCCGCTTTGATGCTGCACTGCGCTTCAATTGCTTTGTTCCCCACGACCACATTTTCACGTTTGGATTTTTTCCTACTACATTTTTTCCTACTACATACTAAGTGCATGTACTCCAGAGGTACATTGGTGATTAGATCAAAATTTTTTATATGTGTTAATATTGTTGTTCCCACGTGATGTTCCTCTTGTTCCTGAGACAGAAACCCATCATGTGTTCGTTTCGTGAATACTGTTTCTGGAAAACACATTCGGTTTTCAATATAGGTACCCTCTTGCACACACTTTGTGCAGCTAAAGTAACCTGTGTGACCCTTTATTTTAGCTACAAAGGATTTGTTAAAGGCAAATCTACCATCACGGGGTTATTTGACTCTATCAATGCCATATACGAAGCGCTGGATAGCAAGCTGTATACCATGGGCATATACTTTGACATGTCAAAAGCATTTGATTGCATCAATCATCAACTACTACTTGACAAATTGGAGTCATATGGAATTGTTGGGAATGCACACAACTGGATCCACTCCTTCCTTGAGGGGAGATCCCAATTTGTAGAAATACCGAGCGCTAAGGGCAACGGAAAAGTGAAATCATCATTATACAGGCAACATCTTGGTACACCCCAAGGATCAACGCTTGCACCTCTACTTTTCATCATATTTGTCAACGATATGGACTACGCGGTTATGAACACGAATGTCTCACTGTGTAAATATGCAGACGATACGTCGCTAATCATCTCACATAACAACTTAAACACCCTGGAGGGTACGGCCAATATGGCGATTGAGAAAATGACGAAATGGTGTACATCCAATCGTTTACAACTGAACGATAAGAAAACTGCCGTAATGTTCTATCGCAACATACGCTCTCGAAATTACATTGCCCCAGTCACATACATGGATAATCAGCCCCTACAGCAACGTTCCAATGAAAAGTTCCTTGGAGTCATGATGAATGAACACCTCAGCTGGGCACCGCACATATCGTCCCTCTCTAACAAACTACGTTCTGCAAGTTACGCAATTCTGTGCATTCGTGACCAGGTTAGCCAATCTACGCTTGTTAAATATTACAACGCACACGTATGTAGCCACCTATCCTACGCTATCATCACCTGGGGCTACTCTCCTGCCTAGCTCAGACTTCTCGTCCTGCAGAAGAGTATTATCCGCCGTATCTGTTACGCAGGTGCACACGATCATTGCCGGCCGCTCTTTAAGCAACTAAGGATCGTGTCCATTTATTCCCTATACATATATAATTGTTTGGTATATATGTTTGAGAATAAATCGGCTTTCACTACAAACGAGGATATCAACCAGGGCATGAAAACCCGCTACCACAACAACCCTACTGTACCTCCGCACAGCACAACGCTATTTGAAGAATCACCAAAATATATGATGATAAAGCTATTCAACCGTCTTCCACAAGAAGCCAAGAATCTGACCTCTCTTCGCCCGTTTAAAAGATATTTAAAAAAGTTCCTCATTGACCACCCATTTTACAGTATCAAAGAATATCTCGCCAATTCATAAGACGCCTTAATATGTACTTCAGCATTCCGCTATTGCACGTATTTGTTTGTTATCTTATTTATTTATTTTGTGACGTTCCTATACTCTTATATGTAGTCTACATGGAAAATAAAATGATTGATTGATTGATTATTTACCGACCGATTTGAACGAAATTTTGGTGAAAAATACTAATAAAAAAAGCAAAAAAGATCCACTTTTCAAAATTGCGCTGCGCAGCCTCAAAACCCAACTTTCTTATTTACCGACCGATTTGAACGAAATTTTGGTGAAAAATTCTAATAAAAAAAGCAAAAAAAATCCACTTTTCAAAATTGCGCTGCGCAGCCTCAAAACCCAACTTTCTTATTTACCGACCGATTTGAACGAAATTTTGGTGAAAAATTCTAATAAAAAAAACAAAAAAAATCCACTTTTCAAAATTGCGCTGCGCAGCCTCAAAACCCAACTTTCTTATTTACCGACCGATTTGAACGAAATTTTGGTGAAAAATTCTAATAAAAAAAGCAAAAAAAATCCACTTTTCAAAATTGCGCTGCGCAGCCTCAAAACCCAACTTTCTTATTTACCGACCGATTTGAACGAAATTTTGGTGAAAAATTCTAATAAAAAAAGCAAAAAAAATCCACTTTTCAAAATTGCGCTGCGCAGCCGCAAAACCCAACTTTCTTATTTACCGACCGATTTGAACGAAATTTTGGTGAAAAATTCTAATAAAAAAAGCAAAAAAAATCCACTTTTCAAAATTGCGCTGCGCAGCCTCAAAACCCAACTTTCTTATTTACCGACCGATTTGAACGAAATTTTGGTGAAAAATTCTAATAAAAAAAGCAAAAAAAATCCACTTTTCAAAATTGCGCTGCGCAGCCTCAAAACCCAACTTTCTTATTTACCGACCGATTTGAACGAAATTTTGGTGAAAAATTCTAATAAAAAAAGCAAAAAAAACCACTTTTCAAAATTGCGCTGCGCAGCCGCAAAACCCAACTTTCTTATTTACCGACCGATTTGAACGAAATTTTGGTGAAAAATTCTAATAAAAAAAGCAAAAAAAATCCACTTTTCAAAATTGCGCTGCGCAGCCGCAAAACCCAACTTTCTTATTTACCGACCGATTTGAACGAAATTTTGGTGAAAAATTCTAATAAAAAAAGCAAAAAAAATCCACTTTTCAAAATTGCGCTGCGCAGCCTCAAAACCCAACTTTCTTATTTACCGACCGATTTGAACGAAATTTTGGTGAAAAATTCTAATAAAAAAAGCAAAAAAAATCCACTTTTCAAAATTGCGCTGCGCAGCCGCAAAACCCAACTTTCTTATTTACCGACCGATTTGAACGAAATTTTGGTGAAAAATTCTAATAAAAAAAGCAAAAAAAATCCACTTTTCAAAATTGCGCTGCGCAGCCGCAAAACCCAACTTTCTTATTTACCGACCGATTTGAACGAAATTTTGGTGAAAAATTCTAATAAAAAAAGCAAAAAAAAATCCACTTTTCAAAATTGCGCTGCGCAGCCGCAAAACCCAACTTTCTTATTTACCGACCGATTTGAACGAAATTTTGGTGAAAAATTCTAATAAAAAAAGCAAAAAAATCCACTTTTCAAAATTGCGCTGCGCAGCCGCAAAACCCAACTTTCTTATTTACCGACCGATTTGAACGAAATTTTGGTGAAAAATTCTAATAAAAAAAGCAAAAAAAATCCACTTTTCAAAATTGCGCTGCGCAGCCAAAAAACCCAACTTTCTTATTTACCGACCGATTTGAACGAAATTTTGGTGAAAAATTCTAATAAAAAAAGCAAAAAAATCCACTTTTCAAAATTGCGCTGCGCAGCCGCAAAACCCAACTTTCTTATTTACCGACCGATTTGAACGAAATTTTGGTCAAGCTTTGTTGAATTCCTTAAATGAAAAGACTCAACCTTTAGATGGGGTTGATGGTTTTTTGTTGATAGTTGGGGAACGCTTACGCCGTCTCCCTTACGTAAATCGCACACGGATAGAGCTGGAAATTCTGCAACTCCTTCATACAAAAGAAACAAATATAAATAAATGATTATTGTTCATACTATTTTATTGCATAAAATCAAACATGAATTGTATTAAGCACAGTAGAAAATTAAAATTCATTTCGTTCAGCTTTCTCCAATTGCCATGGTACGGCACCTTCGCCCTCAAAATAATTTGCAAATACTTACCACCGTATGTTTCCAGCATTTCGACTGTGCATATTGCTACCGGTTCGTTGCATGTCGATTAGGCCTGTTGATGTACCTTCTAAACCATCCTGTACAGAGTATCTACGTTCTGCAGAGGACAATGTCATTTCTTTTTTAATAATAAAATTATGTAAGCATACTACTGCTTGCACAATTTTTACCGTTGTTTGTATACTTGTATTAATGGGTCTGGCCAATAGTCTCCAACGCCCTCTCAAAAGTCCAAATGCGCACTCCACAGTTCTCCTTGCAACGCTCAGACGATAATTAAAGATTTTTTTCCTTAAATTTAAGCTACTTTTGCGTGGGAAAGGCCTCATCATTGTAGTCGTCAAGGCAAATGCTTCATCGCCCACAAACACATATGGGGTAATGTTACTGTGGCGCCACTGTCTGCTCCCGGCGCTACTGACTATCGTCATAGGGCTACTGGAGCGCCACCTATGGCGTGGTATAAAAACCGGACTGCGCTAAGCGTCCAGCGTCTTTTTCCTCCGGTTCTCTAAGCGACTACAACCTGTGTAAGTAAACGTTTAACTGTAACCACATGGTTAGTGTTTTATTTTAATCTTAGCACGCCTGTAATTGGCGTGGCAAATAAATAAGTAGTGTTTTAATATAACTCAAGGAATGATATCGTTCCTCGAAACGAACACTACAATTGGTGACCCGCGCAAAGTGTAATCACGCAGCCGGTAATTAACAACCGCCGTCCGGCCATTTTGAAAACCACGCCACGTTTTTTTTTTCACATCCAACAATGCCACTGGACAATATTACCGACGTTCAAGCACCGCAGGAGGAGCCCCCTCGGGGAACCCAAGCCGGACCACAACCACAAACGACAACCATTGCAGCCACTGCCGTAGTACTTCCCGCGTTTTGGCCTAATCGTGTCGAGCTATGGTTCTCAATGGCGGAAGCCAAATTCGACTTGGCACACCCCAAGATAACTCGAGAAGATACCAGGTTTAATCATGTGCTCACCGTTTTACCTCCGGAAATCGCAGATGAAGTTAGCGACCTAATCATACAGCCGGATCCAAACACCCCGTATACGAAGCTAAAATCTGCAATTGTCACTAGGATGGCCATGACCGACTCCCAGAAGCTAAAAAAGCTACTCTCAGGAGAAGAACTAGGGTCCAGAAAACCGTCTCAGTTACTAAGACACATGCGCCAGCTTGTGCAAAATTCCAGTTATGTTAACGACAGAGCGCTCAAAGAACTGTTCCTACAGCAACTCCCAACATCGGTTCAAGCAATACTGGTATCACTCTACCAGTTAACACTGGAACAACTGGCCGAGACAGCTGACCGGGTTCTAGAAATTACACCGACAGTGGCAGCAGTAAGTTCACCGCAGCCACAAACCGAACAAGCCGGTGCAAGCAGCTCACCACCGAGCTACGATGCAATTGCAGCCCTCACAAGCAAAATGACCGAGTTGCTACAGATCCTCACTGTCCAAAATAATAGATCGAGAAACAACTATCGAGGCAGGAGCCGCAGCCGGAGTGCTTCGTCTTCAAAGGAATGCTGGTACCACCGTAAATTTGGAGCTTCGGCAAAGAAGTGTATTCCCCCATGCACTGGTAAAAAAAACGAGGCGCAGCAGTAGAGGCGACGACTACTGCAAGTCCCTCAGCAACCCGTCGCCTCTTCATAAAGGACCACTCCCTAAACGTTGATTTTCTAATCGACACAGGGGCAGACCTGAGTGTCCTTCCGAAATCCTTTAAGGAACACAATCGAGCTACCAACTTCACCCTTCAATCTGCCAATGGTTCCGAGATAGCAACGTATGGGTTAAGGACTATCAGTGTAAATATAGGTTTACGGAGAAACTTTCAATGGACATTTGTAGTGGCTCAAGTGATGTGTCCAATCATAGGCGCAGACTTTTTACACCATTTTAATTTAAGTGTAGACATTAGGAACAGACAATTAACAGACAATACAACATCCATTAAAAGTAAGTGCTCGTGCAACAAAACTTCAGTGTTATCGGTGCGCACAGTTTACAGTGCTAACAAGTTTTTTAACATCATTCAAAAATATCCCGATGTCGTCAGGGCTAAACCCATTCAAGACCCGATAAAGCATACGGTTGTGCACCATATAGAAACAAAGGGCCCGCCAGTACACTGCAAACCCAGACGTCTCGCACCGGACAAACTCCGAATAGCCAAAGAAGAGTTCACAAGGATGCTCGAGGCAGGTGTGATACAACCATCTTCTTCACCTTGGGCCAGCCCGTTGCACATGGTACCCAAAGCCGATACCACCTGGAGACCGTGTGGGGATTATCGGATGTTAAATGCAGTGACCACGGCCGATAGATACCCTATTCCACATATTGAGGATTTTAGTCACCATTTACTGGGAAAAACTGTCTTCTCCTCGATAGATTTGGTTAAGGCCTATCACCAAATACCAGTAAACCCTGCAGATCGGCCAAAGACAGCAGTCACCACACCTTTCGGGTTGTACGAGTTCGTAAAGATGCCTTTCGGTCTGAGAAATGCCGCTCAGACTTTCCAAAGATTCCTCGACGATGTGCTACGTGACCTCGACTTCGTCTACGCCTATATCGATGATGTACTGATCGCATCAAAAGACGAAGAGGAACATATCGCACATCTAGATCTCGTACTGCAGCGCTTTACAGAATATGGAATCGTAATTGTTGAAAAAATCGAGACGACGAGAGACGATGAGATATTCAAGATGATTTTAATAAAAAATAAACGTACAGTTTTTTTATAACAGTCAACAATCAAATCTATTTATTTGACACACTGAAACCTTGATCTAACGAATTTAATGTTTTTCTTTTCAACACTTCCCCTAAAACACAAAATTCTTGTAACGAATAACAGATATACCTAACATAACTTCTAACCAATCTCAACTTCAATCATTCCAATTTTGGTTCGAAGTTCTTGAAAACGGGGTCTTGCAATTGGTTTTGTTAAAATATCTGCCAATTGTTTTTCACTAGATACATGTTCAATCTTCATTTGACAATTTTGTACTCTTTCTCGAATAAAATGTGCCCTAACATCAATATGCTTAGAGCGCTTATGAAAACTTGGATTTTTAGCAAGTTTTATAGCGCTTGCATTATCTATCAGAGAGTTGGTACATCAAATAGTGGAGAAATTTCATTAAATAAGCGGCTCAACCAAACAGCGTCTTTAGCAGCCTCACTGGCAGCTACATATTCCGCTTCTGTCGTCGATAATGAAACACTTTTTGTTGTCTTCTACTTGTCCATACAATAGCACCACCGCAGAACTTGAAAAATACTCCACTTACTGAGCGACGCGTATTAGGGTCACTTGCATAATCGGCATCACAGTAGGACTCTAATTCTTGAAAATGTCCAGTAACAGTATAGCAAATACCAAAATTAATAGTACCTTTCAAATACCTTAAAATTCTCTTTACCATTGTCCAATGCTGCTCTTGAGGGTTTTCTACAAATTGCGAAATATAATTCACAGCAAAGGCAATGTCAGGTCGTGTAGCTACTGTCAAATACAATAAACTACCTACCGCTTCTCGGTAAGGGGCATTAGTTCGTTCAGTATTTAGTACTTCCCCTGTCAGTTGACATCGTTCAATAGGAATCGATACAGGATTTGCATCAGTCATGTTATATTTCCGAAGAAGTCCTTTAGTGTAATTTCTTTGGCTTATAAAAATTGACCCATCATCGAAACGATCAATTTGTATATTCAGGAAACTTCCAACAACTTTATCAATAGTTATTTTAAATTCTTCCTTCAATTTTTCCAAGAAATCTTCAATGATTTCTTGTTTCGTGGCAGCAACAAGACCATCGTCAACATAAAGAATAACCAACAACTTATCATTTTCATTTAGACGAAAATATAAACATGAATCGGCTTTGCTCTCTTGTAATCCAAAAGAAATTAGAACATCCTTGAAACGTTTGTTCCAACATCTTGGTGACTGTTTTAAACCGTAGAGACCTTTTCTTAATTTGCAAACTTGTTGACTACCATCCTCATAACCTTCAGGTTGCTGCATATAAATTTCTTTATCAATGAATCCATATAAGAAAGCAGTTTTTACGTCAAATTGAGCTAATTTTAACCGTTCCTTTGCTGCAATACTCAAAAAAATTCGAATAGTATCAAAACGTACCACTGGACTGAATGTTTCTTCATAATCAATGCCCTCTCTCTGATTGAAACCACGAACAACCAATCGTGCTTTATACCGAGCAATTTCTCCAGTACAATTTCGCTTGATCTTGTAAACCCAACGATTTGAGATGGTTTTTTTACCTTTCGGTAAGTCAACCAATTCCCAAGTTTGATTTTCTTCAAGCGAGTCCAATTCCTCTTTCATTGCTTTATTCCAGTGTCTCTGTTCTGCAGTTTGTATTGCTTCAGAATAACATTTTGGTTCTTCTATTTCAGCCATCATAATGTCTAGCAATCGCTCTGGCGCTTTTAATGTTGTACGATCACGCAATTGTCTTTGTTCGTCAACATCATCTATATCTTCCGCAAATTCTGTTAGAGGTATTATATCGTCAACCTGATTAACGGGTACATCTACCGGAAGTGGTACTACTTCATTTCTTTCGTGACTGTTACCATGACTATGATTTTCATTTGGAAATAAAGTTAACAATCTTCCAGTCAATTCCGGCCCAAAAACTACATTTTTGCTGCGTTCAATTTTGTTTTTTTGATTTGAACCAAATCCGAAATCCGTCCACGTTATCAGAATACCCAACAAAAATTCCACGTTTTCCTTTTTTATCCCATATCTTTCGCTTTACATTTGGTACATGTACATAGCATTCTGTACCAAAAATGTGAAAATTATTTAAGTGGATATTCTTACCAACAAACAATTCATAAGGTGTTTGTCCAGGAATACTACTCTGTCCAGTACGATTTAGAATATAAATAGATGCATTTACAGCCTCAGCCCACAACTGTTTCGGTAAATTCTTGGCAAGAAGCATTGTCCGGGCAAGTTCAACGACAGTCCTGTTTGTCCTCTCTGCACAACCATTTTGTTCTGGACTATATGGATTCGTAACCGACAATATTATACCATTCTCCATCATAAGTTTCCGCACTTCAGCGTTATCGAACTCCAAACCACCGCCGCATTGAAAAATTTTTACTGCTCTCCCAAGTTGATTCTTCACAACTTTCAACATCTCAGCAATTTTTCTTACAGTCTCGGATTTTTCTTTGAGAAAATAAACAATACGCATTTTCGAATAGTCGCAAGTAAAACACAAAAAATATTTTGATCCTCCTAATGAAAGGCATTCCATGGGACCGCAAATATCAGCTGCTATTACTTCTCCTGGTTCGGTTGCACGTTGCTGACGTTTCAAAAAATTACTACGATGCTGCTTGCCTTCAACACAAGCTCCGCAAAAATCGTCACCCTCAATGAATTCAATTTTGTGCTTCTTTAGCAACTCTTTCACGTGACACTTGTTTTGATGGCCCAATTTTTCATGCCATATCTGCAACGTCTCTTTAGATGAAATATTTGCTTCACTTACCATTGGAATTTTTGGTGGCTTTATGCAGATGATCATTTTGAACAACTGGACATTCTTACACCACAAGCTTTTGTAACTCCTCCTTTTAAAAATGAACACTCTTTGTTAGTTGAGCTAAATGACATTCCCTTGTCCAAAGCAGACGTCACAGAAAAAAGATTTCTTCGTGCTGTTGGTACATACAACACGTTTTCCATGTGACATGCGTTCCATATTCCATTGACTAGAGCATCAAACTGTATAGTTCCTTTGCCTAGGGCATTCATCGTAGATTTGTCCCCAATGTAAATCTTAACAGGTTCTTCAAATAATTCAAATGAAGAAAAAACATTCCTTGCGATGTGTGATATGATCCGTTGCTCCAGAATCAACAATCCAGACATCATTTTCTTCAGCACTAAGAACTTCTCCAACAAATGCTTCAGTTTTTGAAAAATTTTCCGCTGGAGTTTTCTTATTTTCGGTTTTCTTTGGACAATTATTTCGAAGATGGCCTAAAACATTGCATCGGTGGCATCGTACCTTAGAAATATCAAATTTCTTAACATTGCTACGTGAAGACTCACCAGATGTACTGTAGTTATAACTTTTACTATGGTTTTTCTTACTAGCCATAAGTGCAACTAACTCATCTTGTTTTTCAATTCGCTGTATTTGTCGCTTGTCTTCCGTTGTCAAAAGTTCCACTAGATTGTTGAAAGTTTGCTGGTTTTCTGACCTTGCCCACCAAGCTTGTCGTAAACTTTCAAATTCATCAGGAAGTGAATCTAGTAATTTAACAACAATTGATGACTCGTCTGGTTTTACATTTAATTGCTGCATCTGCAAAATTAATTGTTCAAATTTGGCAATATGATGTACCATGTCATCAACTGGTTTTTTTTGAAATACAAAAAAACTCTGACTGTACAATATGTGCAGCTTGCTTGGTCTGCTGTTGGTAAACTGAATGTAGTTTCAACCACATTTCTTGTGCTGTTTCACACGCAACCAGCAACGCTAATACCTTAGAATCGATTGTTTTTTACAATCAGCTGACTCGCTGCGCGATC